AGTGGTAGATAAGGGGGAGTCTCTTCTATCTCTCAGGGACTATCGGTGAGATCCCTGTGCTGGGTTCCCAGGTCTGTACACCTGCTGTGCTCATTATGAGGGGTTCCTATGACCTCAAACTGGGTTTCTGGGTCTGCACACCTGCTGTGCCCATTATGAGGGGCTCCCACCATCCTTGAAAGGTAACAGTGTCACTGGAAAGTAGGGATGCACCAATACCGGTACAATTTTCGGTATTGGTGCTCACACCGAGTATTTCGCTCGCCCAAATGCTCCGATACCTTCCCCGAAATCGGAACTTCCGGTCAGATGAAGATTTCCTCTGACCGGCAGTGCCGTAGGGGAGCATGCAGCCAGCTTCCCGTGCGATCAGGAAGCTGGGTGGCGAGTAATGCTGATTGGTTCGATGCTGATTGGCCAGGAAGCAGGTTTCCCAGTCAATCAGCATTGAGCCAGCCAAACAGCCGGCTCCTTGCTGATTGGCCGAGAAGCTGGCTTCCCGGCCAAACAGCATCGAGCCAGCCAAACATTACCCAGCTTTCTGATTGCCCGGGAAGCCTGCTCCATGCCAGCGGAAGCACCGGTATTAGTACTCGGTATCGGCGAGTATTGAAAGCAAAATATCGGTACTCGATACCGAAAAAACGGTATCGGTGCATCCCTACTGGAAAGGGTGACCTGTGACTTTCATATACTGACCTTACCTCTGCTTCCGCCGCAGCTTCATGCTCCTCTGGAGCCAGTGCTGAGATGAGCTGTGTCGGCGACCTGGGGAGCGATGGTTTGCTGCTATGCGTTGGCACCATCACAGGGAACCGGGTCACACGCTTCTCAGGGCCGGTGCTAGGATTAGTAAGTGAAAAAAAACCATAGCGTAAGCATCGGGGCATTTTGACAAGTACAAGTACTTGTCAAAATGCCCTGTTTTTTCCGCCCTCACCCTGTAGCGCCCCCAGGCGGCCGCTTGCCTTGCGGTAGCGCCGGGCCTGACGCTCCTCCATATGCCGGCCATTCTTGCCGGCTGTGGAGGAGCAAAGCGTTGCTGCTGGTGATATCGCCGATCATCCCACGCATATTCATTTTGCTTTGTTGATGATGAAATCCCGATCTCAGTCAGGTGACTCCAGTACGTTGCTCGTCACTTCCCAGGTGTTGGCGCAATTCCTGTTACATTGCTTTTAATGTGTCAGACATTTGTGGGAAGTATCAGGTGTGAGGATGGAGATTCGGCCATCTGGGGAGTTGCGGTGTGTAGCCGGAGCCCGGGGGAGGGACGCGTGAAGGTGTCCGGCACACAAACGGTTAATGAACTCATGAATTCCTCCTGCTTGCGGTCCCTGAGGTCCCGCAGCAATTACAAGCACGGCGCTACAATGTGTCACATGACCGCTGTAGCCACGAACGCCCCAGCCTTGCCAGCCTCATTTTTTACAACTACAGGAAATAAAATCTAATATATAATTAAAATATTAAATATTGAAGCCAAAGCCTTTTTTTTTTTAGTTCTGGATGGAGTAGAGAGGGATTAGACCCCCCGTCAGGTTTTTATAGCCATCTGTGTCCCCATTAGGGAGATTCCCCCTCTCTATTGGTCCTGGTGACCGTTATCACTAAAAGTGAAAGAAAATCCCACATTTTGAGTTGTCACCAGAACAGGAATACATGAAAAATCTTGCAATGGGGACACTGGTTCTGGAGACCACCATTTCCCTCACTTTGAAAGGATTTCCTCTCACTTCCTGTTGTGGCTATTAGACAGGAAGTGAAGGGAATTCTCCCCAATGGGACAAAGATGTAAAGAAAGCTGACGGGGGTTAAAACCCTACTCTTCAACTGAATTCAAGGCAGATATAAAATACACACCTAATGCATCTCTGTATGTATTAATATATATAAAATACTGTATATGATATCTCTCGCAGTCCCCGTACAGCAGAGCTCCAACTTGGAGAGGAAGAAACAGCAAAAAAAGCCAATCAGTGGTGCTGCAGTGCTTAGGTGCTTACAAGAAACATGCTGATAGGAGGGGACAGCAGAGTGATGGAGAGATGTGCTCATCAGTCTGCTGCTTCTCCTTTCACTGTCCAGTCACAGGCAAGACCTGTAAGTGTTACTGATCTGCAGCAGAGAAAAATCAGGGCTGTGCTGTGTGACAGAGCTGTGTAAATCTTGGGGCCTAGATGGACAGAAATACAAACCCTTTGGCAGCTAAAACAACTTCCATATATGTTTTGCGATTGCCCGGAGTTCACCGTTAAGGCTAGGTTCACACCAGATGCAGTGCATTTCGGCCCGATTCTGGCCAGAACGCACTGCATCGCATTGCGGCCAGCTCACTTTTTTGTAGAGCAGGAGGGGGCGTGGCGAGCCATTGAAGTGAATGGCACCCTAGCCACGCTCTCCGGCCGCAATGCCTGTGGTCCAGTCCGGTCCGAACAAGATAGTGCTTGCAGCATTTTGATCGGACCGGATGGCAGGCATAATGTGCCTTGCAATCCCGTGCGGCCGAATGCATTGCGGTCGACTCGAAGGGCGTGGCTGGATTCCCCCCTCGCCGCTCCGATCCACCAGCGCTGGCTGGCGGAACGGACGGGGGAGGGGGCGGGTACAGCTGGCTCTGCCTCTAGATAGGCAGAGCCAGCTGTCAGTCACGCAGCTGGGCGGATCTCGACATCGATGTCGGGATCTGCTCCGGCTGCGGCGTCTCAGTATATAGGGAGCTGTAGCTCGCGGTATACTGAGCTTAGGGTGATGGGAGGACGCTAGTTTGTGTCCTCCCGTTACCCTAAGGAGAACTATGGGGAAAAACACTGACCCCATAGTTCTCCTTTAAATAAAGCAGCACAGAGCTCATTCCCAAAACACAGAGAGATGAGAACAAAACAAAAATGGCCGCCCGGTCAACATTGGCAACATGTAATCCTTCATTGTGTTTCAGTGTCTGTGGAAAAACAAATCTCCAAGAACAATAAAGGTGAATGCAGCGGAACAATATCGGGCGTCAGCTTTGTTATATGCAGATATTGAGGTAATTCCTTCAGAAATTTGCATAGAAGCTGCAAAGCCGATCCAGACTCTGCTCTGTCACCTCTATAACAATGCGTCCTATCAGTGACGGGACAAGGTCCTCTGGAATCCAAGGCGAGGATGCCAAGGTGTGCTACCCAACCCCTCCCACAGCTGATACATTCAGTGCAGTGAAAAGGAACAAATTTAAAACTGTTTACAAAAAAAAGAAAACAGCTAAGGGAAGGAAAAAAAGAGGAAGATAATAATAATAATAATAATAATAATAC